AAAAACATACTAGAGACGTAGATCATCAAGTTTCAAAATAGGAATTTAGGAAATCTGGTAGGATTAAAAGAAGGAAAGGAGAAAGCAAGTATAAATCAATATAACCCTGCAGAAGAGATAAAAGTAAGCACTCATTCCCTGCATTGATCACTTGTAAATCCCACCCTTGCTACCAAAAAATAGTTCAGACCAAACGGTGCAGTATGCACGAGAAAAAGAAATGGAAAGAGACAACAGTCGCCGTTATACTCACGACCAAGGAACTTCAAAATGCTTTTACAAAGGAGACAAAAATTAATACCAAAAAGACAAACAGTAAAAATGTAGGTATTTGACCAGAAGCTGGGCTAAATCATACAAATCCATTCAAATGGATATAATGAGTGGTTTTAGGCATAGGCAAAATATGCAGGGGTCAATTTTATTGGTTTACTGCTCAAGGACCATTTATAGATTTCATTTAAATCATGAATTAATAGTAGGCCAAATGAAGCTCTTATGCCACTTACGCTTGCATGTCTCTGTCCGGATTATGTGTGGAGTACAAACATATCAAAGCGCGAACATAAAGATTGTGTGCATGCAGTTTGAGGACATTGATTTGGCCCACTGGGGTACAACAGGACTGAATACAAATGAAAGACGTCAATATGAGGTAAAACAATTTAACGGGGCCGGTGGGCGAATACACGCTGATGAAAGTGCCCACAGGAGGGCGAACGTTCTGGTATTTATGAAGAAGCTCCAATAATAGTGAGGCCTGTTGAATGTCTAGGTTCAAGGAGATTCGTCTAACAGGGAATGACGGGCTTGATGCCTTTAAAATGCTGACCATAAGTTATGCAAAAAAAACAGGTAACTATGCGCAGGCAATAGCACATTCATGAGAGAAGGATGGAAACATTGGAGAGAAAAGCTATGCAAGCAATTTTTTGAGCTTTCATGTGTGTGTATTTTAGGCGGAGGGGATAAACTTAAGGACCTGAGGAAATGTACAGGAGCTGACTACCAGCCATGCGAAGGGGTAGTGATGGATATGCATGTGGAGCCAAGGACAACAAATAAGTGCCAAACAAATACCGGAACTGTGCCCATGTTTGGTAATGAGTAAGAGAGAAAAAGAGGCATATGAAGACGAATTTAAGTAAGCAGCACAGTTAGACTAGAAAAAAGGGAAGAGATTAGATCACTTGTCAAGGCGCTCTATGACTAGATAGATAGAAATGAGTGGATATGAAATAAGAGAATCCCGTGTAAAGGAGAAGAAAATATACCAAGATCCAAAAGGAATCGGTGTCACACGGTAACGTGGTAGTCGAGAAAATGGGTACCACTGTGTGTGTGTGTGTGCATATGAGGGGAAGATAATTGCGCTTGGCGTCACCTAAATGCGCACATCCTTTTTAAAGACCATTGAAGAATGGAACAGGGAGGAAGAATATATGAAAGCGGCCTCTAACGGATAGTTTCATCGAATTAGTTGCAGTTCAAGTGGTGGAATACCGGAAGAAAACAGAAAAAATATCTGAGAAAATCATATGCATACGTGTTTTCACGCGTTCGCGCACGCCTAAACATATGTGGCATTCTGAATGTTGTATTCATATCACACATCCTTTCTAATGAAGGCTTGGAAAGGATTCCATTCTCTATTTAATGGAAAAGGTATATGCTACAACAATTCATTGGTTTAAGCGACAAAACTAGATCTGTGTAAATTAGAAGCCACAATGAATATAACGTCTTGGGCTATAATTCAATGCAACCAGCCAAAGCGTAATCCCCGGCCGAGGGTAGAATGGAAGAGGACTGTAAAAAAAGTAAATCATGTAAGGCAATTTGACTCTTATTGAGTCATAAACTTCTAACTGATTTTACTGGTGCGTATACTAGACATAGTTTCCAAAAGGGCTAGTGGGAATAGATCGTGTGTGGGAAAGATGAGGAAGCTGAGCAAGAATTTTGAGTATAAAGTGGATAACTTGAAAGTACAATGTAACGGCTACGGGGACTAGCGTCAGCATCGGTAGCATAAATAAGGCAGCATATTCAACATATAATGACACCAGCAGACAGAAAAACCATGTTGGATGTGCTTAAAAGAGACAATAAGACAGTTGGAGGAACGAAATGTCGGTGGGTCAAAGAAGATCGACAGGCAAAATAAGCCAGAGGCCATCGGCTAACCAGTCTTACTGAAAATACAGGTCCGTAATTCCTGGAAAACCTTCAGTCTGCGAGATCACTCGTTGAGTAGGCAAAAAGTGACAAAGGACAACTAAAGGAGAGATCTGGTGGGTTGGATAAATTGAAAATGAGTTATTAAAATGAAGGCAAGGCTGGAAACCCATGATTGGGAGTCTGGGGATCTAGTGACGCGCTTGCTTCAGCTTCTTGCGCCACTTTTCGAGTAATCCGCCCCCAGCTTGAGTTTTGCCTAGCACCACCGGGGCGGCCGATGCAACAGCGGCTTGAGGACAATGACCAGAGTTGGCGGATTGCGAGGGACTGCTACCGGCGGGGTGACTCATGTTCCGCGGCCTGAAGTTGGGAAGGAAGTCGGAGCCTGAGGCCAACGAGCGGCCGAGTGGGGCAGGCCGATCGGAGGCTGCATGCGATGGAGCACTGATACGGTTGAAGCGAGAGGCTGCCGCCGAGGCGACCTGCTTACGTCGCATACGGATGGGAGTGATGACCTCGGTAGGTAGGGTGCATCGACGAGCTAAGAGCAGGGTATATCGGACAATTTCGGCATTAAAATTTATTCGGCATAATGAATGGGGATTGACCAACTGCATGAGGATAACGGAAGACTAGTGCAAAATTACATTAACGTGCAGAATCGAGCTGACTGCAGAACTTTGTCCCAGTGATATATGCTAAAATGAGCAAAAATGAGCCAATTAAACGAAATATTCAAGCAAATCATCTTGGCCTCATGTTGACTGAGTTCACCATGAAAAATGGTGATAAAAAATCGCAAAGTGAAGTGCCAGATGTATGGTGGTGAACAGGTATTATTGCCAAATAATGGATGTGAATAACAAGATCGGTTTGGCCATAGTATCATTTTGCTCTATGAAGTTGATTTAACACCAAATTGATACCAGCTAAAATTTGTTAATATACATCATCAAAGTAAGGTGTAAAAAGAACACAATAGCAATAGGAGAGAACGAGGTAAAAAGAACTCACTTGTAAGTCATCCTGACCATACGACTAATATCAATGTCAGCTTTTAAATTCACTGAATATACAGTATCCTGAAACTCATCAAAGAAACACGGTTTGGCTGGCTCATATTATGGGAAGTTGGATAAGATGCTGATATTGTGCCAAAATACATCATGAGCTAGTGACCCCAGGTACTTCGGGGCAATGTTCAAATAGTGTGCAGAAACAGAATAATAGTTTATTATGGTGATGCACTCGTATAAATTCTTGAACCCAACAAAGAATGTTCACGTTCCGAGCGTGAACTACCACTAGGAGAGCGAAATAGAATCACTTTGCAAGTGATGTACCTCAGCCTTAATTCTTATAAAATTCGATCCGCCATGAATAGTTGTAACCATCTTGCTTAGGTTAGAGCAGCCCCCGAAATAGTATTTAATTCCGTAACTATGAATCCCGGAAAAAAAATGTTGGCATGAGATTAGGAGTGGCCTTAGAACTTATTAACGAAAGAGCAAGCATGACTTTCGGGATAAGATAGGCCTATTTAGACTCAAATATTTTCATGATACAGTGTTAAAGAGCCTAGAATAAGATATTTCGTAGTAAGATTACACATTATCTTGCAAGATAATGTTGATAGTGATCATGCAAACGATGATACACAGTTGAATGGACAGATAATAAGAAAAATATTGTGATTATGAGAAACTTGATAAAGTACAAAGTAATTATAGCCCAGAGATTTAGGAAGCAGACAGACAATAAATGCATCCTTCAGAACAATATTCAGTAGAATAATTGAGTTTGACCTGTAGACGGCAGCCCGATTGTTGATTCATGGATTGAAAAACTATACAACAGTAAGCAGAATACAGCTGTGAAGAAAAGAAAATTGTTTCAAATGCTACTTTTTCCTGTAGGCCAGTGTATAAATGGGTGAATCTTTATTCACATGATAGAGACATAAGTTAACCAAACGGCTGCAGTCCTCATTTGGTGAGATCGACCAACGAATCTCTTCTTCATTCACTTTCATGCGAACTGAAAGTCCCCCTAATAAGAAGTTAACCTGTTTAGCTTTGGCAAGATTGTCCATTCATAAAAGGCAGAAGAGTTTTAGACCAGCTTCGAGTAGTAGGGAAGGATCAAGGTGAAGGTCGTTGCCAATAAACATGATCTTGTTTGCGGAGTTAGACATACTTAAAAGTAAAAAGACTGTTTTAGGCAAGACTAATGACAAATTCGGGTGAATTATTGTTTACTGAGTAGGTACCGAAGCTTTTCATTGAACCTAAAAGAATCCGCATTGGTCCCACAAGGCCAGTGAGTGGATGAAAAGAAAAAGCACGAAAACCTTTATTTTGTGATCAAAGCATTAACTCATTAAGGCCACACTTTCCAACGACAAATAAATCGTGCAAATTCTAAGCAATTTCTAAATTGCTAGAACCTAGGAATTTCAAATAGTCCTAGGGGAAGTGGTTTGACCTTGTTTTCGCAATTTGGTCGTATTGGCAGGAAGGCCTAGCGGAAAAGTACCTCGTCCAGAGTCCATATTGTGCATGATCATTTCCAGTCGGACCGTGAACTTGGTACATTCCCAGACGTTTCACCGGCATCGTCAGTGAGCCATGCCGTTTTTAGCACCACACTAAAACTGGTCAAAGAGACAAGTGAAGTCGATCCTTAGACCAATTGTGTGCTAAATAATTGTGGCATCTCTTCTTCTGTCTTGGGCTATTCACCTATCCTAAATCCTCGTAGCACCCTTCCAATATCACAATTTCTTACTTGTTTATCTAAACCAATTTGAAACATAATCACACAAGCCGCTGGTTTGCACATCCATCTCACTGTGTCGGGAGCGCTAATCCAAGGCCGCGGTTTGATCCACAACCTTGTCTCTTCGGGGCCTATCAGAGCTCATCCTCTTGCTCCGTAGGATCATTCCAATATCTGCCTGTTTCAATGGTTTCACTCCATCTCTGCCACCGTACCCGTGCTACTCAAGGCGTTATGCTCTACCCTTTGCATCAAGCCTTTGATAACATGTATACACAAAAAGTTGGTATCATCAAAACTGAATGAAAATTGCTTTGCAGCTTTGACTATTATTTTGTGCAAAGAATAATTGTTTACTTAATCAACTATCTCACTATAGATAGGAAGAAAAACTGGGCTTCGATGAATTTCCTGAGATAACCAAACAAAACTAATAATTATTAAGATACGAAGGGTTAGAGGGACCTTCATTTCGTATGAAAGTGTATAACATTGTTAGGGGGACCTTCATTTCGTATGAAAGTGCATGAAGAAGAGATTCGTTGGTCGATCTCACCACATGAGGATAAAAAGTTGGTATCATCAAAACTGAATGAAAATTGCTTTGCAGCTTTGACTATTATTTTGTGCAAAGAATAATTGTTTACTTAATCAACTATCTCACTATAGATAGGAAGAAAAACTGGGCTTCGATGAATTTCCTGAGATAACCAAACAAAACTAATAATTATTAAGATACGAAGGGTTAGATTTCTCTTACTGTTGCTTCCTAAAAAGTATTCTTATTCAAAGTAGATACAAAGAAAAACTGGGTTTCGATGAATCTCCTGAGATAACATTCATTTCGTATGAAAGTGCATGAAGAAGAGATTCGTTGGTCGATCTCACCAGATGAGGACGGATGAAACTCATTGTACTTCAGCCGGTTGGATTTTATACGATATTCATGTTGACGCAGTCCACGGGACTTCCTCCCTCGTTTCGC